AAATGTTTCCGTTGAGGCAAAGCTTTCTATTGGTGTAGATAAACGTTTGTTCATGGCTACATAGATCTTTTTCATTTAATACGTTTGATCTTGCATTAAATGCTTTGCTTGCTGAATCTGTGTTACATAAAGTCCTTTCTGTGATTTGTTCCCTTTTATTTTTAACTTTGGTCATGACCTAGGTATGTTTGTCCTTTTTCCGTGATTGTAGTTGCGGAGGCGTTGCCTTTTTCTGAAAAGTAGGTGTACTTGCCCTGACACACGCAGCTTTGACTTGTGAATTTGAGCTCTTCAATTTTCTTCTTTCTTTTCATATCTTTGATAACTCAGTGTTCTTTTCTTATGAATGGAGATGATATATGATCTTCTTCGTTGTGACTAGTGGACTTCTAACGCTCTTCATTATGGTTCGTTTGCGTCTGGAAATTTGAGTCTCCATCTAAGAGTTAGACTTTGACTTTTTCATCTCGTTTGATTGGTCGTGAAGGTGAATGACTTTTATTCTATCTGGAACATTTCTTCGTCTTGTATTGTTCAACGACTGATGTTTGTTTTTGTTGACCTTTGTGCGGTTGATCATTGAGCTTCATCTGATATTTATTTAGTGCTGAGCCAACTTTGTCTTGGTCTAGTTTTGCTCTTGTTTTTGATTTTTTATGTTGCACTCTAGATTGTTCTTGACATATCTTCGTTTGATATTTGTTAACGTCTGGTACACAATTCATGATCCTTCTATCATTTGGCTTGATTTGTCTGATCCTTGTTTTGTTCGACCATGCTTCATGCTTTCGTTTTGCCTGTTCTTATACATTTCTGAAACATTACTACATTGGTTAGTAATAACAATATGTATTACATTTGTCATATTCAAAACCTCGCTGGAAATTGCTTCGTCTAACTTAACACAGCCCAACTAAAACCAATATTTTAATTAATTATAAACAAAAATTTGGTTAATTTAAAAAATTCAAATTGTGACAAATATACCTTGGTATCCACCATTTGCTGAAATTACTTTTCTTTTTAAGCTTCTTAAGTATCTTCGGAACAATGTCTCCTTGATGTAATAGGATGTTGTTCCTATTTTTAGCCCATCTCTCCATCAAGTACAATTGGACGTCCTCTGACATGGTAACAATACTACATACATCATCACCCTTTGTAACCTCACTTTCATTACCCACGACATCCTCAAGCACACTCTCATCACACCAACAATCCCAAACTCAGGCACACTCTCATCCCTGACCCCACATTCATCACCAACACCATCCTATACCACACCCACATCATTAACAACACACCTAACCCCACAATCACCACCAACATCAGCCTCTATCACAATCTCATCATCAACAAAAGGACCAGGCCCACTGTCAGCAATAACTACATGCCCCTTCCCACTCTCATTTGTCATAAGTCCATCATTTTTAAGCCCACTATCATTAGGCACTCTCCCATCATTTGTTACAACAGTAGGTGATGGTAAACTTTGTATAATTTCAGCTTTAGATGCTGGATGTTCAACATATAATCAAACATTTCTAAACTGTCTTGCTATCTTTATCATTTTCATGGCCCCTTATCATCAGACAACAACTTTAATCTATTCACAAAGTCAACCCCATCCATATAATACCACATCTTATCCACCTATAATATATCCCACTTCCCTTAAAATATCCAATATTTCAAAATAGGACCATCTATCAAGGTCACATGACCATGTGGAATCATGACCCACATAATCTAACTTCCCTCTATTCACAAACTTCCCCCCATGATGGACAACTACGTCAAAATACTCATCCATGTCAAGCAACTCCTATAAAAATCTAGAACACATAATTTAATATTAACCTATTGTAATGTATATTTGCAATTATAAAAAAATACTTAATTAAAAATTAATACAAACACAATTAATATATGCATAGATAACAACCAACACACCAGTGGGCCAACATAGTAAAAAATTGAACATTAGTGGGTCAACATATGCAAATAAATTAGGATCAATCTATGACTATATCAGTGGGCCAACATATGCATCTATACAGGTCAACATATGCAAAACACAGTACAACATGTCAAGAACCCATTGTTTGGGACCACACGAAAAGAAAAATCAAACCCTACAACAAAAAACCTCTATTAAAAACCCAATTTTTAGTCCTACACGAATTCAAACCCTAAACCGAAACCCATATACGAACAACAACCCAATAATACCCTTTGTCGAACCCTAAATCAAAAACCCCTAAAAACAACACTTACCCGATGTCAATAAGATCCAAACGCGAGTTCGTCTTCTTCACGAATGCCCTTACGAGTGACTTACAATCAACGATTTCTCTTCTTCATGAATGCCCGTTACGAGTCGCGATTCTTCTCTCACGCGGGAAAGGAAGCCACGTTGGAATTGCAATGAATAATGGACCGATTCTTCTCTCACGCTGGGAAGGAAGCCACGTAGGAAAGGAAGCCACACGTAGAAATTTCCACGTTGGACACTTGTAAACGTCGTTTGTGGAATTTGGACGGAAGTCCCACATTGATGTACTTTTAAATAATTTGGGACTAAATTGAAATAAAAAATTAAAGTGAGACCAAATTAAAACTTTTAAATATTATAAGGGACCAAATTAGATATTTAGTCAAAAATTAATCCAACAAAAGTTTGGGTTTGATTTCCGCACATTTATACGATATTATCTATTTTCAGATTAAATATTTACAGGTTTATTTTTTTATTATTAAAAAGATCCCGTTCTAAGATAGTAAATGTATATTTTATAAATATTTTATTATTATTTTAATAGTGATATTTTATTTATATTCCAATACTTTGGATGAAATTATGTCGGCATAAGCAAAATTATAAATATATAAACACAGTTTGTTCTATAAAAATTTTAAACTGAATTTATTATTTATTATAAACTTTTGATATGATCTTTTTATACGAATTATTGACTTATTATTTAAAATCTTATTTTACATTAACAACATGCGAGTTTTTTTTCGTTGTTAATTTGTGTAATAAAAAATAATTTACTTTATTATTATTAAAAATTATATTTAAAAAAACTAATGTAAAAGAGAAAACTTATTTAGGATATTGTAAATAATCAACTACGAAGATGAAAGAAAAGAGAAGAAAAAGATCCAACTACTAAAATATATATTTTTTATTTTTTAATTTCGTACAAATAGGAAGTATAAAATAATTAAGTGCAATAAAAATGTAATATTGACAATATTATTTTTTATTACAAATTTATTTATTTAATTATATTATTAATAATGTAATATGCATATTAATTTTTTTTATTATATTATATAGATAAGTATGCTAACATATTAGCCAAACATGTTTTTTTTATATATAAACCTATGTTCAATCATTTTATATAAATATGTTATTTTAAAAAACTTAATTTTAACTTTTTTATTAAATATATCATATTTTAAATAAGATATATCATGATTTTTATTTAAAATTTGAATTATTTTTTATATGATTTAGTTCAATTTTTGGCTTAAAAATTGCTCAAATTAAACAAAAAAAAATTTAAATGTATTCAGTTTAATTCAATTCAAATGTATTATGAAATTCAAACCAATATTTTACGGTTTAGTTTGATTTGATTTTCGTGATTTTAAAAATTAGTTAAAAATATGTAATATTATGTTATTTGTTTAAGATTCGTATGTTAAAAATAAAATTAAAAGTTTATTAATACTAAACTTTTTTGGTCACTTAATGTATTTAACATCAATTTTTATTTTATTATTTTAATGAAAACATTCTTTGCTTAAAAAATTATTTTCAAACTTTATAAATGATTTTTAATTTTTAATTAAAAAAATACAATTTAATAACTTATATTTTTATAATACACCTTTTGAATCAAATATAGTAAGTTACTATAATGTATATTTGGAAAGAAAAAAATACATTTTAGAAATTTAAAATTTAGTAGCTTATATTTTTATAAAACATCTTTAATGTGTTTTCGAGTTTCCATTTAAATTAGATCCATTTTGAGTACATGTACCTAGCATAGTGCCTATAGAAGAAAAAAATCCAGCAAATGTTTAGATTATATATGCACACTTTTTCTTTAGAAGAATTTGGAGTATATTTTAAAATCCAAAATTTCCATCTTTGATGGAAATAATTTATTGGGCAGCAAGAAAAGCAAAGGCAAACAAATCTCTACTTGATTCCAAAGCATGAAGGTAGCATATGCAATAAGGAGAAGATAGCCACAAGATTGGAATAAAGAAATACACGTTAAATGCAATTAAATATCATTTTCAATGTAGGGGACATAAGAAGTAGCTCCAAAAGATAACGGTTGGAGATTTGACCTTTCACCTGTGTGAGCTTAGAAGCAAGACAATGTTTGGATGCTCCAATTTTGGTGTGCCACTCCCCAACGCCTTAACCTAGAGATTCTCAAAATAACTCACGAATCTTGACCGTTTAGATCAACCCCAATGCTTCTCGCACAACCACACGTGCTGCCTTTTATTCCTTTTCTTATTTTAGTTTATTTATTTTCTTTCATGCATGGAATTCTCCTCCAGCTACTACACCCAACGACAGTACACAAATAAACCAAAGATTCTTGGTTCATCTATGGATAATTACTACGATATAATCGTCATATACTTTCGGTATAAAATGTTTTTTCTCTATCATTAATATATGATAAGTTGGTTAATTTTTATGTTAGTTATCTTAAAAATTATGTATAGAGTTAGTTACCCTTGTAAAATTTTGTACAGTAAAGTGTATATATTACCTTTAAAGCTTGATTACTATAGTATATATTAATGCTTCTGGTCAGTGCTAGGTAGTTGCAAGTAACAATCCTATATCTTCAAAATTTGATAGTTATTTTTATTTTTTATTTTTTATTTTTTTTTATTATTCATTAAATTTTGAGCATTCTATTGGGAAACGGAAATTAAGGGGTCTCTCCCCTTTTTGTGGGTTGGATCTTGTACTTATGGAACTGTCACATCTGAGCATTTTGATTCTCTTCTGATCATCAGCACCACCTGGTTAAAAAGCTAGCAACTTGGTGATCTGAATTTTGTCCCTTTCTCTTCTCTCTTTGGGAGCATGATGATGGAATGAATGCTTGGTGATTTGAGGCATGTGACATAGTTTGTTGGGTATATGTGGTTAGTTTCTGGGTCAGATTCACATCACATCATTATTCCATGGAGGGTAGGAAGTTTGTGTGCAAGTATTGCAGCAAGAGGTTTCCTTGCGGGAAGTCTCTGGGGGGTCACATCAGGACCCACATGACTGAAGAAAGGAGCAATGCTGATGGTGACAACATGTTCACCAAGTTTGATGGTGTGAGGAAGAAGAGAGATTTATGGTGTGAAGATGTTGTTTATGGCCTCAGAGAGAACCCCAAGAAAACAATGAGGTTTGTGCATTCTGGTGGTGCCAGTGCCAGTGCCAGTGCCAGTGCCAGCTGTGAACAACAGGAAGAGAGGTTCTGCAAAGAATGTGGGAAAGGCTTTCCATCTCTGAAGGCTCTCTGTGGCCACATGGCTTGTCACTCTGAGAAAGAGAAGAGAACCATCAAGTTTGAAGAGAGTGAGAAGAAGCTGAAATTGGTTATGGATAGTCACTCTGACACTGAGACTTGTGCTCCTTCGCATCCAAGGAGATCCAAGAGAATGAAGGTGAAGACCATTAACCTTTCCAATCACCCTTTTGCTTCTCCTTCTTCTTCTCTTGTTCCTTTGGAAAATGGCTCTTCACCTGTGTCTGAGGTGGAGCAAGAGCAGGAAGAGGTGGCTAGGTGTTTGATGCTGCTGTCTAGAGATTCTACCTTCAAGGGTCGTTTTGCTTCGGTTACTGAATCTTCTGATAACAACTCGGTTATTCTAGAAGCAAAATCCTCCTCTCTTGATACCGGGGTTGGTGTCACCAATGGTAATAACAACAACCACTTTGTCTCTAATAATGCTTGTGATCTCTTGGAGAAGAAGTTGCTTAAGGTTAAGGATGTCAAGTTAAAGTCTGCTGCTGAGTTTGGTGCTTCTGATAATTCAGGTTCTAGATGTTTCAGATATGGTTCTCAAACTAAAATGGTAAATTCTGATGTTTCAAATGATGAATTTAAGGGGTCCAAGATGGGGGACAAGTCTCGGTTTTTTGAGGACTATGATGTTGAATCAAGGAAGATAGTGAACAGAGGTAGAAGCAAATACACTGCTGCTACTGTGGTTAAGAAATTAGTGATGGAGAATTTGGATTATGATAGAACAGGTGGAACTACAAGGAAGTTTGATTCTCTTGGTCACAATCTAGTTGGAGTTTCTAGCAAGAAGATAGCAAATGGTTTTGACAATAAAGTATATGAGAATGACAGAAAGGATGGGAAGTATAAGTGTTCGGAGGGTGAAATGGACAATGGTTCTTATGATTCAATGGATGGCAGTGATGAAAATAGTTCAGAGAGTGATTCTTTTCCTACTCCCAGGTCTCACAATAGTAAGGCTCTGAATGGAAAGAAGAAGTTTAACAAGGCCAAGAAGAAGTTGAAGTCAAAGAAAACCAAGGATCACGAGTGTCCAATTTGCTACAGAATTTTCAAGTCAGGCCAAGCCTTGGGAGGTCACAAAAGATCACATTTCATCGGAGGTTCTGAGGAAAACACTTTAGTGATCAAACAAGCTGCTCCTGTTGTTCCTTGCCTCATTGATCTCAATCTACCTGCTCCTGTTGATGAATAGGGACATGGGTTTTGCATCACTTTGAAGCATCTGCTGCTGAGGTACTTGAATGAATGTCTCAAATTCTTAGAATGTTTTGTCTTTATCCCATATGATAGAAAAACAATTGCAATGTACAGCCATGTGGGTAAATGATTTTTTGTTCTTAATGTTTTACTATGCTTTATTTGGTAGGAGGTAGTTTTCTTTCATATAAATGGAACATGACAATTTGGTATTCAAATATTTGACTCTTCCTAGTTCCTATACCCTACAATATTCTGAGAACTACGTTCATGGTTTTCATTTTTTGCTTTATGGTTTTCATTTTTTGCTTCATCCTCTCGAGGTAATGTAGAAAACATGATTTTAATAACTTGCCAATGCATCTTGTATATGATCTGAATCATCTGATGATCAATAATTAAAATAATACTACTTAGTTTTGAACCCAACTTTAAGATCTCAGTTACTATTTATTTACAATGTGTGTTTAGTCTTACGCAAAATTGCAGAAAATAGATATTCAAGTTTGCATTATTTTTTCATCATTTTGCAACCTCAATTGCTTGAAGATATGCATTCCCTTTACTTTCTTAAATTAGAAGAATCCTTGAAAGTGAAAAAGGTAATTCGAAGGTTAAAGATACTGTAATTTTTCTTTTTGAGTTTTGGTCCTACTTTGCTACCCACCATTACATGTCTTGTGAGTTGTGACCAAATTTAACCCTTCTATAACATAGAATTCAGCAATATGGTCAATCTAATATCCCCGTGATATGTATAATTTCTAAGCACAGACTGCTTAGTCTCCTCACCAGAAATTTATGTTTGAATCTAATCACATCCCATTTGAATTGAAAAAAAGGGCAATTGGTTTGATTATTCTTAAAGTTGAAGATTTGACTCAAGGTAAGTAATTAGTGTGCAAAAATCATACTTTATATTTTTAATATTGAAGACAAAATTGTAGGTTGAAATGGTTGTAAGGTCGTCTAGCACTTAAAGGTAGCAAAGCTTATAATTGCTCCATGTGTACATGTCTAACACGTAATTGTAATAGCAGGAGAATTGGTATGTCTTTTGCTTTGTGCCAATTACTATATGTGATGCTCCCAATTCAATTCTTTTACCCGTTGGGATGAACGAGAGGACCACTGCTATTATATTAGCTCTTCCTCTCACGTGGCCTCGAGACAGAGCCACTCAAGAATCAAATCGCATGTAAACAGAACTGTAAGGTCTGTGGCATCATTACTATGAGAGGTAGCGCTAGGATTCATAGAGCAGCAGTGACTAACATAAGTTAAAAATTTCAAATGTCAACTTTTTCAAAATTTATAAATACCTAAATACTTATAATGATTTTTTTGCTAGTTAAAAATCAAATACTTGTTTTATTTTACGCTTTGTACTAATGTGTAAGTTAAAATGAAAGAAGAAAAGACAAAACAGAGAAAGAGTGCCTATAGCAGACTCCTAGTAGTGCCTCGGTGAATTAAAACTGAAGAGTCACTGCTTATTTCAATAAGTGAGTGGTTTAGTGTCATCATGCTTAGTAATGAGGGAACAGATGTTGTCTCTTTTACACATAAAGTAAGTGCTAAGCAGGCAACTTTTACATATTTGCTAAGACAAAATATGTGAACAGTGATGGTTGAGATTGTTGTGCAAGTCTAAATGGAATCACAATTTGTTTTTCTTTAATTTGACTAGTGATCATGACAATTTCAGAAGTGTAGTTTGGCTTTGGTATCATAACAACTGATTCTGCTCAGTGTAACGTGTTTTCTATGTTATAATTTTTTTTATCTCTTTTCATGAAAAATCTTAACAGGTAAAATTTATGAGATTAATGTATGTCAATGGTTTGATTAGGTGAGTAAAGTTTTTGGTGGAGTTAAAATTTTCTGGGTGTTTGAATCAGCATTCTGTTTTGACACAGTGGATATGCGTATGAACAAAGCTTACATTTAACTTTTGCTTCTTTACTCATCTTAAACGACAACTCGATAGATGTGCATATGAACAAAATTATTTTTGCCCCGCATCTTTACTATCTTTTTCTAGAGAATTAGAACTTAACGCGTGTCCAAACTTGCTACCCCACTTCATGCAAAAATAGGAAAAACTAATATTAAAGAAATGTTAAAAAAATGAATTTAACATACTGATTAAATATTTATTTGTTGTATTGTAATGTTTTAAATTTATTAAGAAGAACCTTAATAATACATTTTTTTAATACACTTATCTTAATATATTTTTTATTAATTAAAAGTTATTAAAAAATTATAAAATTAGAAGAGATAATTATTATACAGAGTTTGTGATTGGCCAACTTTTAAATTTTAACTCATAAAAAAGTATGTATTCTTAACATTTCTCTTTTTATAGTTTATATGATTAAAAATATTTTATTTTAATCTATATATTTTATTATTTTTTTTATTTTTGTGATTCATATGTACTAAATAAAATAAAATTCATGAAAATATAGGCACTAAAATAAAAATGTTTTTAGTTTAAAAAGTCAAAGTTAAGGGCTACCTAATTATAGAGTCTAAATGAATATTTAAAGTTTAACTTAGATATGTATGTAGTACAGTTAAAAAAAATTAATATATATTTAATGTAATTTTATTAGTTTAGTATGTTATCTGACCTGACAAGAAGATAGATTCTTGTTAGAAGTACATGTAAAAATATTTAACATATATATAAATTAAACTAAAAAGTGATTAAAAATTATGTGTTCATTTACAAATCATTTGTGGAAAAGAAGCATTATCTCAGTGTCAGTCTTATAGTGTGATGGAACATGGAAGCAAGAGTTACACACGAATGTACTTACTGCTTATGATTTTGTCAATTTTATTATTTATCTCATTTTCACTGTCAACTTTTTCTAGCAAGCTGCGGTCTCTATGTTGCTTGTGGAATGAAGTCTAGTGTTCTTTATGCTGTAAAAAATGCTGGTAACTAGTAGTGTGTGATGCACATTCCACAATGTGGGAATGAGTTGGTAAAAGAATCATCATGGAGATATCTGATAAAAAAGGTGTTAGGAAAGTTAAATAATAAAAAAGCAAATGTTAATTTTTTTTTATCTTATAATTATTTTCATTATCCTAGTGTTATTTCGTGTAGACCATATGTGTGGGGGACACATTTAGAAAGTCTAAAATAAAATAAATTCATCTGAGCCTGTCAGAGCTCAGATAATTGTAATATTTACATTAATGACCACATTTGGTCCCGCTGTATGCTTTCGATGATGGTGACTATGCATTTTTAACAGCGAGACAACACGTTGGACATCATATTTTCTTTTTCCAATTATTTAGGTTGGAGATTAATGTTCACACACGGTCTATTTTATTATTTAAACCTCTCATCAATTAAAAAAAATACTTATTTGATAGAAATAATCTTGAAATCTGATAACTTATAATACAACATATGTTTTTAATTGTTTTGGGTGAACATGTTTTTATTTTATTTTATTTTTATGTCATTTTAATTTAGAGAAAAAACATGAACACTCAGAATATATAGGACTACAGAGAGAAACTTTATCTAAGTAAACCAAACTAATAAAAAGATTGAACAGAAGCCTTTTTATACTAAAGAAATGGGACCACAAGGCTTCTTGGAGTACCCACAGGCAAAATACTCATCGATATGGGACTTTTCTCATAACAATTCTTTTGCGTGGAAATTGTGATTTTACACCATTTTTTTTTTCTTGAAACATTTTCTGCATGAGTAACACTATATTATATATAACATTATTATATAATTTAATTGTTTTTTAATTTATTAGTTAATATTAATTTAGTTTAAAATTAATAAATAATAAATTTATCTAATAAAAATAATACTTTTTAAGTAAATCAATTATATAATTGTTTTTTTAAAATTATATAATTAATTATAATATTTTTATACAACACATTTTGTCTTTTATTATTTTTTAACTTTTCTTTCCTTTTTTAATATACATTTTATATTATCTATTTTAATTATATAAAATATATATTATTTATTGTATGAAAAATATATTAAATAATAATATACTAATATTATATTATTTATTTGATATTATATATTGTATTTATTGAATAATAAAAAGTATATTTATTAAATGAAAAATATAGTAAAATAAAATTCAAAATTCAAGCGTAGTTATAGTATTAATAAAATAATTATTATAATTAAATAATAATTCAAATAATATTAATAAATATAATATCATTATTTTATAATACTAAAAATTAATATAAGATTTTATGTTATAGGTTGTTAATAATCTAAATTAAATGTATTATGATACTTAAGTGTAAATTTTAATAAAAATATAACAATATCTATTAATAATAATAAATTTATAATTAATATAAAAGTGTTAAGTTAATATGATATAAAATTATAAATGACTAAATTATATTTTTTATAAGAAAAATATTGATAAGATATTTTATTTTAACTATTAAACACGTGTTTTATTTAATCAAAAACTATTTTAAATTAAATTTTATAAACTAAAAGAAATTGAATAATACTTATTCAAACCAGTCTCTATCTAATTTTGTACCAATTCCACTAGTTCGACCAGTTCCAATTCTAAAATTGGCCTTTCTTGTTTTTAAAACTACAATGAAAAATTGGAGCTAACAATTATAGTCATTGGATCATAATTAAAAAAGATTAATTAACAGTGAAGATTAATTAATTAAAACTCGTTTAAAACACTTCACAGTTCACATGCCTTTTCTATCCCTCGGTACTTTTCAAGAGACATTGCTTTGCTACACTGTTTTTGAAAAATGAAAGTGCAGTGTCCAAATTAATTCAAGGTTTCTACCTCCATTCACCTGTCTCTATCTCTTCGGATCCAAGTTCTATATCTAAAATTTTAATATTTAAAAAATAAAATTGGAAATTTAAACTAATTTAAGATTTGGAATGCCCTTCAATGTAGCCTCACCCCATATCACAAGAATCAAAACGAATGGGTAGGAGATGCACGTGAGGTGTTCCAACTGGATTTTAATTTTCTTTTAATTGTGATTTAATGGCTATAATTATCGATTCTTTATTCTCATTATAAAAGTTCCTCTTTTTTTTTAAATACTCCCCAAGACCAAAGTAATTATGTAAGAACTAATACATAGTGTAAGAATCAAAATCAAAGTCATAATTTAGCCATTAGAAATACATTAGTAATTTAATTATAAATAGTTTTCCTGTGCAACTTAATGCATAAACAACTGACAAAAGGAAACATATAAAAAAAATAATAATAATGAGGCTATGAGTCTGCCAAAGATACTAAACCTTGTTGGTACAATATAGGAATATAATAGATAAGTTTATTCAATATTAGAAATTAATTATAAATAATTCTTCTTTATATATAGGATTAAGTTTATTTTTGTTACAATATAGGATTAAGTTCTAGCCAAAAAATGTTATATATTGGCAATACATCAATTTTAAATTTTACTTGTAAAAACATTGTATTTTACTTATAAATTATTTTATCCAAACTAAAAGAATTTAAAATTTAAGAAATTTGATGTATTTATTCAAATAAATATCTGATAAATGAAGAAAAAATGAATTTAAATATTTAAGATATTTCAACATGCTTATAAAAGTGTAGTTAATACGTGTAGTTAACATATTTATGCAAAATAGTGTTACATTCATCAAAATTAAAATCAATATCTTGTCGTAACCCAAAAATTTCTGATCTCGCGACCTATGGTTTAGACATCCTTTTAAAAGTCTCATTAATTAAGGAATGCCCGGACACTAGACTAGTTCTTAATTAATGGTTTTGAAAATAGGTTCATGGAGTCGCCACCAATATTTTATTCAAAACATTGGAAAAAGAAAAGTTTTTTAAAGATCCAACAATGGCCTTGATAACCAGAATTGCGTTCGGGGGTCGGTTACGTGTAGGGAAG